TATGGAACAGTGTAGAAACAGTACTTAACCAAAGAACAAAATAAATATGCATTCCTTCTAAACTTGTATCAGTTAATGATTCTCAGCTCTACACATTATAGTAAATAATATCTCATCAGTTAAGAACTCCCCAGCTCACCCTAAAGTCGTATCTGTTTGAACATGAGATGAAAGCCAATGTGAATTTTATATGACAGCTTCCTGAAATAATAAAATCCACTATTTTTTTACGAAGTGTTATATATTTCTTTTCAGCACAGTTAATGACAATGTGGACAACAATGTAGAAGGCTAAAAATGAGCATTTTAAGCTTAATGGGTAGCAAGAAAACTGAGAATGTAAGCACAGAAGAAAATAAAGTTGTTAAAACACTGTTTAAAAAGAACAAAACCTATCCACCAGTACAAAAAAAGCAAGCAAATAGTTACAGAGGCTTACAGCCCATGTATAAACCGCATGTGGCGCAATGAAGATGAATTTGTGCGTCTGAAACAGCAACTTCAGCAACTTTGTCTCCACCTCTCAGGGGACGGTAAGTGCAGCATCTACCAGAACAAGATTCCTCCCCCAGACCAACGCTTACACTGGAACTCACGATCCTGGGCTGTGGGAACCATCAGCGTGGTCCATGGTGGGCAGGAGGCACCACGTGAGCTGCAGAAACACCCAAGTGAATTGAAGCAAGATCTACCAAAAACCTGAACTATTTAAGCAGTAAGTTCAGGTAGTAGCAAAGCTGTTTGGTGCCATTACAGGCGCTTGAGATTGGGTTTGATTTGGCTTGGGGTTTTATTACTATTTTTTCTTATGTAACTAACTGATTTAATGTGTTTTTCATGCTTCCTCTTGTGCATTTAGTAATATTTCCCCACTGTTTAGATAAGAACGGGGATTTTTAATGGTGGTCAGCAGGGAGGAAAGGTTCATACCAGTATTTCTTACTGCTGCCTTCCCATTTTTTTCTTTGCAACTGTTCTTTCCCTGCACATTTTGAAGTTGGAGGACCTAAATCTGAAAAGAAATAATACTGTTGGGCAGTTTTCTGTGTACTTTTAAGCTCAGCTGGAGAAAGTATTTACTCTGCAGCCAGAGGCTCTGATTGCCAACAGAAAATAGTCAATTGAGGTTACTCAAAAGCTGCAGATTTGGGGTGTCCCTGCATGCAGCCTGGTGCTGTGTGCCGAGCTTTGGAAACTGCAGGCAGTGGGCGATCCTTATCAGCACATGGAGCACGTACGGATTAGTGTGGTCATTAACTTTCCATTTTGAGCCTTAAAGGAAACCGGGATCTGTGCTGCCAAATGGGATTTTAAAAGCTGCAGACCCCATCTCAGGAACGTGTGTGGAGGTCTCGGGGTGAGCTGGGACTTGGGGAAGGATTTCTCCATGCCCCTCGTCCATGGTGCCTCGGTGATGCTGCATTTCTGATGGAGAAGCCCTCGCGTAGCCCCACAGCTCTGTGTGTTGGTGTCGCAGGCTCAGATGAAAGCTGATGGGTTCTGTGACTCCACTTTCTTTGCCCAACAATGGAAATAAGTAGTGGGTGCACACCGGGAGTGTGTGCTCGCACACCAGCCCGTTCCCTGTTGAAATCTGAGCTGAAGTTTGGCATACTGTAAAGGAGGAACCTGTGTCCCCATAACTTGGCGCTGAGACTTTAATACTTAATAACTTGCTTTCATAGTTAATAACTTGGTTTAATACATGGCTACAGACTCCCCGGAGCACTCAAGTACGTTTCTGAAAATTCCCCTTTAACACATCCCTTGTTACAACTTACAAGTGAGATCCTAAAGAGCATCTTCTAAACTGGTCAAGCTCAAGACACGTGTTTGAACAGCATTTCAACCTTGGTTAACGATTGACAACAGGAACTTGCTTGGAGTAGCTGGTGGTACAAATACACTTGCTTTTAGGTTAGGAAATGGATAGTATAGCAAATAGTGTGGTTTATGGCTCCAGATTCTTTGTTGAGAGTCTTTACTGTCAGCTTTAGAAAAGGGCGCTGTCGAAGTGGGTACAGCCCAGAACTGCCTCGTGTTTACAGAGCACATGTAATGCCTCGTGTGCGTTTTATAAGGACAGAAGTGCCTTTAGAGGGGATGGAATTTTCTTTCTGCTTTCAAGAAAAAAAAGAAAAAGGTGGAAACAAGGGAATGGGAATGTCAGGAAGGAGACACCTCTCAGACCTGGAGTGCTGCCATCGCGGGAATCTGATGGGAGCCTTGAACAATGCAGTCTATTGGAAGGTGTCCCTGCCCATGGCAGGGGTTGGAACTGGATGAGCTTCAAGGTCCCTTCAACCCAAACCAGTCTGGGATTCTGTGACGTTAAACCAGGTCTGATTCTCCCCAAAATGTGTTTTATATCATCACAGTGAAAAGCACCAGCTGCTGAATCCCAGGTAAGTGTCTGCCCCCCTGCAAGGAAGAGCAAACCCCCCCAGAGCAGCCTTCACCCCTGCGCTGGAGCAGGTAAAGGCAGCCTGCTCAGTTTTATTACCCTGCCCTGCCTGCATAAGGAGGCTTTGAACCAAGTCAGCCCCGGTATATGCACACCTTACAGATCACTCCTTAGACTTGTTAATGTTTTATTGTAGCGCGAGTTTATGATGACAGCAAACCTTTCAAACTGCAGAGGGATAACACGCTTCCTTGCCGTATTAAAAAATAATGTTAGTGTAGATTTTATGTCCCGTAGTTTAGGCTGCTGTTAAGAGGCGCTTCTTTGACAATATTCTTCTTGAGGTTTACAGAAAGCATAATAAAATATGTAAGTTACATTTCTACAAACAAAAGCCATAACATAAGTTATTTATAAGTGTGAGATCCAAACAGTATCACGATAAATAAACCTTAATGGATACCTGTGGCATCCATCCTAATGTAATTTGCCCAACAAAAGTCATATTTAGTGGAAAAACCTGGCAGCAGCTGCGTGTTGGTGTATAAAATAAGAATGCAAGAGAGAAGGAAGCTGTGTGGGAACACCGGCTGCTTTACCGGCTTTAGCCTCAGCCCTGTGCTACCTCCCAGCCTTCTCCTCCTACCTGAGGCTGGTGCTGCTGCTCGGGGAGACCAGCTGTCTGCATCGTGCAGGGTTTGTCCCCGGTACCAGGACATTCCCTGTCGGCTTCACTGCAGCCTGAGTTTATCAGAGCTGGCAGAAAGAAATTGAGCCCCATCTGCCCGTCATCCTCAGCTCTCTTCCGTTTGAGCTGTGGTTCCTTCCCCAGCGCTTCCCCTGTACCTTCCCCATCTCATCTCGTCTCGGGCATTCATGGACCAGTGCATAGATTTTGAACTAAACCGAAGTTCTGGCTTTTTTAATACGATGATTAAGGTTACCAGCCCCATAAAGATGTGCTTTGAAATGTGAATTGAAACCACGAAGCGCGTTCATCCTCCCGGGCTGCAGCCACCTTTAACTGCGCTCTGTGAGAGGGTTTAACTGTTTCCCTGCACCGAGGTTTTACCACCAGTCAGCCTCCATTCACTTGAGCTCCTCCGCGCAGGGGAGGGACAAGGGGACTACACTTGGGCTGATGGGGAAGGGGCTGATGAGGGCAGCCCTCAGCCTGCCTGCATGGATGGAGCTCTGCTGCCTGCAGCCAGGACGGGTGCAGCCCTCCCGAGCGCACAGGAAAGGGCAGGGCAGGGCGGCCCTTAGAGTGCTCCGCACCCGAGCTCTGCCTCGGCAAAGGCGGCCCTGCTGCAGCCCCTGCGGGCTGACGGGACCCAGCACCCGCTCTGCAAGCGCCAAGAGCCGGGTGCGGGCCACGAGAGCACGGCCACAGGCACCCCGGGGGCCTTTCCAACCCCAGGGTGTGCAGCGAGGCCGCTGCGGGGCCCCGGCGGCTGTTGGCTCGCACCCGGGGTTAGCGCCGACGAGGAGGACTCTGCAGGACAAGGCACAAGGGTAAAGACCACATCACCCTCCTGTGTGCCCCTGCCCAGGTGTCCCCTCGGGTGGGTGCAGGCAGAGCTCAGGCAGCAGCTTGCTGCACCCGAGCTGCTTTTGACTCTCCCCTCGTCCTTCCCCTTCCCATGCCCAGCTGCAGAGCACCCGTGTCCCTCTCCAGCCTGAACCCCAGTATCGCCCTGCCGGGCCTGCAGGGATGCTGCTTCCAGAGCCACGGATGAAGAACAACTTATTTTGTCCCCTGTGGTGCTGGCTTCCACACGAATTGTCTGTAGTCAGTGATGTGCTAAACACCCAAAAGCGTGCCGGGTTTGTGCAGCAATATCCATCTAGAACAGGCTGTGGAGAGCAGGCCTTGCTCATTCTGAGCTCTGCTGCCAAAGCCAGGAGCTAAAGCAGAAGCATCTCAGCGTCTGCTGCTACTTTCTCCTGCGGCAAGATACCGCTGTTCCTGTCACCCTATGGGAACAGACAAAACCTGAAGCAACAGGCGATGCCTTTAGGGGACGGCGGGTGCCTCCTGCTGCCCTGTGCTGGGCTCTGGCACCAGCCTCAGGCTCACATGGCTCCTCAGTTGCCTGGCATTAGAGACCAGCTCCCAGCATGTGAGCTCCTGCATGTTAAAGGAGGGTCTGAGGACCACAGAAGGGTCTGAGACGTGAGCACTGACATCGCCTTTAGCGTCCTGTTAAAGAAAAGGGATTTGTCTGTGGCAGTGCCACCACCAGCGAGGAAGCATAAAGATGCAGCTGAGGACAGGAGCTGGAGGTCAGACACTCATCAAACCCCTCTTCCTCTAAGCACTGGCTTCCGGCTGCAGGCCGTACCTCGGGTGAGGGTCGCTGTGACCATTGCAGGTCCCAGGCCCTGAAGGAAGGAGCCTTTGGAGAAGTTGGAGCCTCTGGACCCCCGGCCCTGCAGGACAGTGTGCGAGGGGCACAGCCCAGGATGTGCGCAGCAGAGTGCTGGGGAAGAGGCAGTGTGCGAGGAGCTGAAGTGCAGAAGCGGCTGAACAGATGTACGGGGCTGGGTATTGCTCTGTGGGGCTCCTCGAGGCGGGACGAGGACCATAAAGCACATGCTCAGCATTTCAGGTGCGATCAAGCCCTTTATAACGACCTGGGCTCACTGAAGACCCTGAGCCTGCGTTCCCATTGCGTTGTTGCGGGTTGATTTGCTGCTACTGTCCCGCAGGATGAGCTCTGCAGGTACTGCAGCCCTGGGGACTGTGGGGGCACCTTCTGGGTACCAGCATTTGCACCTCTCTCCCTGCAGCTGTGTCAGCAGCTGCAGGCTCGGTGGCTGTTCCAAGTGAAGGGCTCCCAAGCTCGGGGATGGTTTCTCCTCTCCAGCCGGCGCAGCATCGCGGCCCGTGTGCGAGCACCGCTCCGGACGGGGGCGGCTTTAGCAGCCCCTTGACCCCCTCCATCAGCTGCTGGAGCCCGACCAGCAGCACCTTGTGCACCCGAACGGGCCGCCCAGCCCCTGAGTTCCCTGCTTGGAGCATCCCTCACGCTGCGGCCCCTGCGCTCGGGCGGCTGCGCCAGGCAGCTCGGGAGGGACTGCGCAGTAATGCACCATCAATTAACGGCCCATTAGTATAAAAGGCTGGCTACCGCTTTGGAGAGGCTGGAGGAGCTCTGCAGTGTTTTCTCTTGGTCTCGTTCCCAGCCCGGTCCCTGTCCCTCTCACCTTCGAAGCAAAATGCCTCATTTGAAAATAATTAATGATAAACATAAAAAAAACCAAGGCTGTAATGGATCAATTGGTCCACGCTAGATTTTGACAGGAAACGTTTAACAGAGGCTACTTTACAGCAGTGCAGCACAGAGGGATGCTGCGTGTGCCAGTCAGGGTGTGCATCCTGCCTGGCCCGTGGGTCTGAGCCATTCCCGGGGGCCTCTGTGCGGTGCCGGGACTGGCTCGGGTGGCAGGGGACCCTCTCAGGGTGCAGCCAGATTCAAATCTCTGGGCTGCTCTGGGTCCCTGTTGTGCCAGCTGTCGCTGCCCCAGGGTAGCAGGAGGATGACGGGGCAGGAGCGATGCTTGAGACCGCTATGGGGAATGGCCCTTCTTGAGTCTCCAGCTGCTCAGTGCTGGGTCTGGTCCCAGCGGGGACCCCTTGTCCCTGCTCCCATGTAGTGTGCTCGTCCTTGGAGAACCTCCAGAGACCTTGGATGGGAAGGAGCTGAAGCCCTTCTGCATGCCGTTACCCACCAGCCTGTGCCACTTCCCGATCTCACCACTCCCAGGCACTAAATACTATCCTGGAGTTGCCAGCCACCTCTGGATGGGGATTTAGTTTTCCATGGTACTGGGACATGCCCTGGAGAGGAACCATCCCCATCACTCCTCTGCTTTCCAGGAGTGTCTATGGCCCCCAGATCTACAGCCTTGGCTCTTTCCCGTGGTGGCACAGCCAAAGGGCCCTGACGTGGCTGTGGCACACGTTGGTGCCAGCAGCACAGCTGGGGTCACCACCAGCAAACCCACTCCAGGTGCAGATACAGAGATGCCCGGTGCTGAGGAGGAAGTATGTTGCTTGAGTTGCCTCGTTCTTAAAAGGCAGAAGCAACTGGGGCTGGGTTCATCATGTGCAGTTCATCGAGTTTTTGTTGTCTCGTCCCACAGGAAGCACTTTGAGAGGTGAACGGTGGCATTAGCCACTGCTTGGCACAGGCAGGTCCTGTGAGGACACCCTCCCTCCTTGTAGGGCCCACTGTGCTTCGAGCCCAAAGACATCCCGGACTCTGAGGAGTGCAAGTGCACACCAAAACCGAACGCAGTGATGGTGGCGGGTGGTGGCACATCCGCATCCATGTCCCCCCATGGCAGCCAGACCTGGGAGCTGCACCGGGATTCAAGAATGGCTGAGGCAGATGCTGCGTCTCTGTGCCTGGTGATTCCCAGTGACAAACTGGGCAGGGGTCCCTCTGGCCAAAGCAGCAGCGCTTGCACCGTGCTCTGTTTTGCCGGCATCAGGCTTGGCACCACATCGCAGTGAACACTTGTACAGCATGCTGCCTGAGTTTACAGGGAATGACAGTGTTCCACCTCTCACCCCACAGCTGCCCCAGAGCTCTCCTTTCCTGAACTCCCCAGGGCCTGGGTTAGTGGCACCCCTGCAGCAGGTTGCCTGTGGCTGGCACTGCATGCCATGCCAAGCAAAGGCCATGCTGTGCTGCATCATACTGCGCCATGCCCTGACCTGCTGTGCCGGGCCATACAAAGTCCATGCTGCGCCATGACCGGAGCCTGGCTTAACTGATGCACTCCTGTGACAGAGAGCTCCCTGACACAGGGTACTATGGGCAAGCTACAGGTGCCCTGGTCCTGCTGAGGGGGTCCCGCTGCATCCCCCTGCCCAGCAGGGCTGGCTCTGAGCAGGGTCTGGCTCCCCTGCTACGAGGAGCAGCCTGGGCACGGGTGGTGCCCCTCATCCCGCCCGGCCCCGGGCGCTGGGCAGAGCCGAGGGGACCGATGGGGAGCGGGTACCGGGGTCGCGCCGTCGGGGCCGCGGCTCCGCTCGCTCCTCGCCGGGCGGACGGGGTGCTCCGCGGGAGGCTGCGGGAGCGGAGCCCGGCTCGGGGCCTCGGAACGCTCCGGAGGCGGTCCCGGGGCCCGGAGCGGTACCGCGGGGCTGCGCCCCCGGCCGCGGAGGGGTGGGGAGCCGGGGCGGCTGCGGGGGAGCCGCGTTTAAGGACACCATAGGTCCCGGGTTATTAATTATAAAACGTAATTAAAGTAAAACTGCAGAACGTCAACATATTAAATTTAAAAGCTAATATTAAAATAGAGTTAATATTTAATAAGATAGCCGAGTGTTACAAAGCTGTGCGCTGATACTCTATATTTAACTGTGTAAAACCAGGAGAGTTTTCCCAAAGAAAAATGTATTGTTTAGCTGATTATCAAAGACTCTGTGATATATTATCCATTTCACAAAAATAATATAGATATCTTTTTAAATATAGTAATAAAAACATACTAGCGCCTTTTAAATATACTATTACTTATCACCCCTTTTCATATTGTACTATCACAGACACTTTGGAATTGGTTTAAAAGCACATCATTCATTATTCAAAGCTCATCTTTGCATATTATTCCAGCTCAAGTCTGCCAGGCTCCCTGTGAAATCGTTCACAAAATTGATAACAGCAGACACACATGCAATAAAAAGATAGCCTTGGGCAGCCCGCGTTCCCATTATGCAGATCAAGCTGCAATTTTCTCTAACAAAGCCTGCCCTGATTCAGGACTCGGTGTCACTTTATTTATTTATTTATTTGTCCTCCCCCGGTTCCCTCCTCTCTTGGTTTGGGTTTGGGTTTTCCCCCCCTTTATTTCCCCTTCTTTTCTCTCTTTCCCTCCGCCTCCCCGCCCTCTCCGCCGGCCCGGACCCCCGAGGGCCGGAGCCCCGCGGCCATTCCCGTTGCCTCTGGGCGGCCCCGCACCATCTTGCCGCGATCGTGTCAATCCGATTCGCTCCGCTCCGGGGAAGCGGTCGCGGATGGCGGCTCCGCGCGCACCCGCCGCACCGACCGGGGACAATCCGATTGAGGCTGCCCGGGGCCGCGGGTGGCAGCGGGCGGACCCCCGCGGGGAAGGGGCGTGTGGGGCTTGTGGCCGTGTCACCGGGCGCTGCCGGCCGGGGAGCCCCCCGACGGCGGCCGGCGGGAACGCGCCTCCGCCGCGCCGGGAAACTTCCGCCGGCAGCTCCGAGCCGACCGTCGGGGGCAGCGCCCGGTGCGGGGCGCGAACGGCTCAGCCCGGCCCTGGCTTCCCCCGGGGAGCGGCACCCTCCCGGCGGGTCGGTCCGTGCCCCGCTGCCGCAGCGATTGGGCGCGCTGCGGTAATTGAATCCTAAGCTCTAAAAACTAATCAAGTCCCTCCTGTCACGGCTCCGGCATCCCGGGATCGCCCTGCCAGGTGCTGATCAAATGCCATTACATTCTATTAACAGGGAAATTCTATTCCCTGTTTTCATTTCCCTCTGTAAGCGGGAAACTAAGTAAATGCGGCTGAGCGTTATTTAATTTTTAACGCCTTTAGTCCAATTTGGACGTTAGGGAGCGTCTGCAAACTCGCTCCGCAGCCGCGCCGGGCACTCCCGCTGCCCGGGCGCACAACGGAATCTCGCCCTGCGTGGCTCCGGGCACCGCCTCTGCCCTCCGCTCCGCGCTGCCGTCGGGGCGGCCGCCGGCCAGGGCCGGGGGACGTGCGGGGAGGGGACCGCGCAGGGCGCGCGGAGCCGCCGTCGGGGGAAGCGGGGCTCGGCCGCGGGTCCTGCGGGCGGGCGGGGGGCAGGGGACGGAGCGCGGCGAGAGCGCCCCGACGGCGGCCCCGCGCCCCGCCCCCGCCATTGTTCGTGCGCCCCCGGTGATGTCACCGCGGCGGCGGCGGCGGGTCCCCGCGCCCGGGCGCGAGGCCGGCGCGGAGCGGCGGGAGCCAATGGGAGCGCAGAGGCCGGTCGCGGCCGGCCAATGGCGGCGGCGGGAGGAGGAGGAGAGGGGGTGCGCACGCGGCGGCGGGGCGCGCGGCGGCCCCGCGGAGATGACGGGGCGGCTGCCGGGGCGGCGCGCGCGCGGCAAAGTTTCGGCGGGTCCGGCCGGGCCGCGGAGCGCGGCGGCGCCTTTATAGCGCGCGCGGGCGGGCGGCGGCGGTGGCGGCGGAGCATGGAGCCGCCGGCGGGCGCGCAGGGCCAGCACGAGCCCATCAGCTTCGGCATCGACCAGATCCTCAACAGCCCCGAGCAGGACAGCGCGGCCCCGCCGCCCCCTCGGGGCCCCGACGGCGCGGCCTTCCTGGGCGGCCCCGGCGGCCGCGGCGGCGCGCCCTACCCGGCGCTGCCGGCCCCGTTCCCGGCCATCGCCGCGCCCTTCGAGGACTCTGGATCTTACAGTGTGAACCTCAGCCTGGCCCCGGCCGGCGTGATCCGGGTGCCGGCGCACAGGCCCATCCCCGGGGCCGTGCCACCGCCCATCTCCAGCGCCATCCCGGCCATGCCCGCCGTGCCCAGCCTGGGCAGCCTCAACTTCCCCTGGATGGAGAGCAGCAGGCGCTTCGTCAAGGACCGCTTCACAGGTAAGGCGCCGGGGCGGAGCGGGACGGTCCCCGTCCCCCGGCAACGAACGGAGAGGCAAACAAACGGTACATAAACGAAATAGCCCCGGCAGTGGCAGTGCGATGGCCGCCGAGGCTGCCCGCTGGACGGTTACCCTGGCCGCGCCCGCCGCCGTCCCAAAACTCGTTCTCTTCCCGGCGTGGGGAGCGCGGCATCCCCGGGGCTGGCGGCGATGGGGGCTGCCGGGCCCCGCTCGTCCCCGTTTTCCCTCGGCAGAAGCGGGAAGCGGCACCTCGGGGGCAGACGCGGTCCCTGCGGGGCCGTCGGGGCGGCCGTCGGGCAGAGCAGCGGCCCCAGGGGGGGGAGGCTGGCACCGTGGGGGAGAGGGACTGACCCCTGTGCTTCCCACCCGGGCAGCGGCGGCGGCGCTGACGCCCTTCACGGTGACCCGGCGGATCGGGCACCCCTACCAGAACCGGACTCCGCCGAAGCGCAAGAAGCCGCGGACGTCCTTCTCCCGGGTGCAGATCTGCGAGCTGGAGAAGCGCTTCCACCGGCAGAAGTACCTGGCCTCGGCCGAACGCGCTGCCCTCGCCAAGTCACTCAAGATGACAGACGCGCAGGTGAAGACCTGGTTCCAGAACCGGCGCACCAAGTGGCGGTGAGTCCTGCGCCCCCGGGGCCGCCCCGTCCCGCCGCAGCCCCCCCCCCCCCCCTCCCCGGCAAGCCCCGGCTCCGGCAGGGATGGCCCCTTGCCGGCTGCCGGCAGCGGAACGGCTGGGTGGATCGATGTTGTCAGACTCGCGCTGTAATTACCGTTATCATTATAATTATGATTTCAATTCTTTATTTTTTAATGGTCCCCCATTCGGAAAAGGAGGGATTATCCGGAAAACGGGGGATTATTCATCAAAACAAGGGATTACTCGAAAAAAATGGGGACTTATTTGTAAAAAAGGTGTCATTATTCGAAAAAAAACGGGGAAATATTCATAAAACCCGAGGGATTATTCAAAAAACGGGGAATGATTTGTAAAAACGAGAGATCATTTAAAAACCGAGGAATTATTTGTAAAAACGAGAGATTATTTTAAAAACGGGGAATTATTCGTAAAAAACGAGGGATTAATCGAAAATGGGGAATTATTCATAAAAACGGAGGGATTAATGGAAAAAACGGGAATTATTCATAAAAACTAGGAATGGTTGGAAAAACTGGGAATTATCCAGAGGAAAAACCAAACGAAAACAAATCAACCCGGGGGAATATCGGGGGAGAACGGGGAATATTCGGGATCAGGGAATTCCCGGTCAGCGGGGGGTTCCCCGGCGTTGCCGCCGCCCGGAAGCCCCCGTCAGAGGCCGAGTGCTGCCGCTGCCCGGCGGTGCCCGCCCGGGACGAGGAGGCGGCCGCCGGGGATGCTCCGGCCGCAGCGCGGAGCCGCGGTCAGGGCTGGCCGGGTCGCGGGCTGAGCGTGTCCCTCGGCAGGCGGCAGACGGCGGAGGAGCGGGAGGCCGAGCGGCAGCAGGCGAGCCGGCTGATGCTGCAGCTGCAGCACGACGCCTTCCAGAAGTCGCTGAACGAGTCGATCCAGCCGGACCCGCTGTGCCTGCACAACTCGTCGCTGTTCGCGCTGCAGAACCTGCAGCCCTGGGAGGAGGAGAGCGCCAAGATCCCCCCGGTCACCTCCCTCGTCTGAGCCCGGCAGCCCGGGCGCGCAGCGGACTCGCCCGCAGAGCTCGGCCGGCGGCTCCCCCCCGCCGCGGGGCCGCGGCTCGACCCAGACGGGGCGGGCGCCGAGGCAGCGAGCGGCACCCGCGGGGCCGGGGCTGGGACAGGGACAGGGGCTGGGACCGGAGTCGGGGCCGGGGCCGCCGCTGCGCTTCCCCGAGGCCGGCCCGGAGTGGAGCGGAGCCACCGGGCGCTGCCGTCGCGGGGCCCCACGCTCTGCTTGTATATTCGTGTCGATGTTCCACTAGGAAGGGAAATATGTCACTTTTTGTAAGAAGTGTTAATAATTTAATTTATTTATGCATCGAGATTTTGGGCACTATTAATATGGAATTATATAAAACCTCGATTATTTATATCGAAATCTGAACATAGGTATTTTGTGTTGGCTTTGGAACAAAAGGCTATTTTTTTTTTTCCCTGTTCTGAGATTAGTCTAAAGAAACAAAAATACCTACCTATCACTTAGCGGAGGGGACTGAGTGGAGCCGGTGATGACTCGTTAGCTTAGGAAACCCTATTAAGCTGAAAAGCGGTAGCTTCCATCTGTCCCAGGTGAAGTTAATGTCAGCTGTAATTCATTCACCGTAGTAATAAGGGCTCCTT